CGTGCAAACAATCGCGGAAATGAGTATCGGCACGCGTGCAAACCGACGTAAGTTGAGTAACCTCACGTCGTGCAAAACCTCGTTTCGGGTACCCAAAATATAGCTCCTATCATACCATTTTGGGCCATAATAGGATGCCTAGGCCTGTTTTTTTTTCGCCCGCCTGCTCCATTATTTTTCTAGAAAAATCCGTTAACCAAGAAATTAAATTGGTGTGGCCTAAGGTAAGTCCAGTAAAACTATCTCCCTTGTTACCATCTGTGGGACAGACATGGGGATGAGTTGTGGGAAGATTGGGTGAAGTCTGTGAATGGGTGAGCGGTGAGTTATAGGCCTCGTATGTACATGTATTTGCATCAGGAAAAGCAAAAGCATGATAAAAGCAAGTTAAGTTTTCAAACTTCACTTGAACCAAAATCAGGAAACATCTAGAGAATTCAATGCTGCAGCATTTTAAAATTGAAACAACAAAATTTGTTAAAAGTTTACAAGAAATGTGAATAAATGAACGTGGGGATTAATAAAATGAGCTACAGCCACACAAATAAACATCCAAGGTTCTCTGAACCTACGTGTGTGATAGTGCCTAAACAAGTACTTCAAAGCTAACTGAACTGAGGATATGTCTTCAGATTTCTGCATATTCACTTTAGGCCACAGCAAGCAAATTTTATGGATGACATCCTCCACAGACTCCAAATCTAATGCGAGCGGGTGAAAAACAAACAAGGCGGGCCGAAAAAAACAAGGTTCCTACATTTTAAAATTTTGACTCAATCATTGTACAAATGGTTTTGATTCAATGCGAACATCACATATACACAACCAGCATCACATATCACTGCATCAAAGTAAGAAACAAAACATTAAATCAGAGCCTTTTCTTGTTTCCTCTCTTCATAGTTATCTGCCATCTATCTACCTTCCGGCATGGCAACAGGCATCTTTGCCCATTTTCGGCATGTTGACCACTGTCAGAAGCAGTGGTCGAAATACTTTTTTTCAGTGCTCTGCAATATTGCAGAAGAGTCAAAATTTTGTTCTGCAATTTGGAAATACTTTCTGCAAAAACATACTAAAACATACTAATAAAAGACACACAAAAAACAGTTACTCAAGTAGCTGTATATAATTTTGGTGCTACCTGAAACAGTCAGACTATTACGTTTCTCATCAGTGACACTAAGAGACTGAAGGAGTACTGCAGGTTTATAAGAAAAAACTATTGATTGATATGCAATTTAGTGAAGACATTTTTTGGAAGTCAAAAAGGAAACAAAAGATAGACAAGTCAAGACAAAGATGATGCAAATTAGTGAAGAAGCTCGAGCTCCAGTTGTTTCAGAACAGGAGCTCAAGTGTTGTCTGCCCTTGATAGGACCTGAGAGTGCTAGTTTGCTACGCCAAAAAACAGTTACTCAAGCAACTGGATATGATTTTGAAAACGTCAGACGTTTCAGCTAGTATCCACTAGCTTTCGTCAGTGACTGAGAGACCAGAGGGGAAAGCAGGTTTATAAGTACAACCTGTTGATTGATATGCAAATAAAGTGAAGACAAATTTTGGGAAGTCAAAAAAGGAACAAAAGTCAGACAAGTCAAGACAAGATGATGCAAATTAGTCTGAAAGCTCCTAGTTTGCTAAATTGAAAACTATTGAATCTGGAGTCTATTTTTCCTTCTGCAAAATTGCAGATTGTATAAATTTTTCTTCTGCAATTTTGAAAATCTATCTGCAGAATGCAGACTGCAGACAGGTATTTCGAACACTGAGAAGGCAACAAATTTTTTTTATTTTTTATTCAAAATCAGACGAAAATCAATGCGCGCGCTGATGTCATCCATAAAAATTACTTGATGTGGCCTTATGATTTTATGTAAATTTTGTAATACATCTAGCTTCTGAACCTAGTAGTCAATCCTATTTTTGTTCTAAGAATGTCAATTTTTCTAGTCTTTTGAAGAATTGATGAAAAACGAGAACCATGGAATGCTATTGGTGTGGCCTACAAGATGAGCGTCTACCTAATTCTACTGAGCTTTAGGACTCTTTCTTCAGACCATCAGCAGGGGGGTTACCCACGTTCGCCATGGCTGTACCAAGAACTGAGGCGTAAAAAAACATGCAGAGAGAGAAGACACCTGTCAACACAAGCAAATCAACAGCAACAGAGGAGATATGGTAAGAAACGACAAGAACAGGGGATAGGAAAAAAAATGTTGTGTTTCCTGTTTCCTGGCCAACCCTATAAAAAACTGCCGACCCTAGACTTTTTTGAGGACCCCTGCAAGGGACATAAATAATTCAATTTTTGGAGCTGATCAATTATAGCTTCATGATCTGACACCTGAGTGATAAAAAGCTGTACAAGTGGTTTTCTAACATTAGCAATTAAATTAAAAATAAAAATGTCCTCAAGCTTTCTTTTACTCTGTTAAACTGTATTGTATAAGTTGAACCCCTATATACTAGATATCACTGAAGTTTAATTTAAAAAAAAAGATAATCCCTACCTACCGACCCTAATTTTTTCAGGACTGAAACAGGAAACAACATTTTTTTTCCTAGGCCCAGATGATATGTAAGACAAGGTTGTGAAGAGGCCACACCAATTTTTCCCATTGGTCGTTAGGCCACACCAATTTAATTTGTTGGTTCTCGGATTCGCCTCTTTGTTTTTTTCTGATTTGCAAAAAAAAAAATTGATTCTGGTCCTGAATCAACTGAAAAATGCTCATGTTTTGACAGTTGAGGAAAGTCCTTTTCTTCCTAGTTGTTACAGTTTTCCCATCTATCATTGCACTGGTTTGATTAAAAGTTCAAAATTCAATGTTTAAATTTTAATCCGGCCTTTTGTGTTGACTTCATGGCTCATTTCGTAGCATTTAAGCCTATAATAGGATGCCTAGACCTGTTTTTATTTTATTTTTTTTCGCCCTGTCGCTTCATATTTTTTCTGAATAAATCCGAGAACCAACAAATTAAATTGGTGTGGCCTTAGTTTGTTACTATTTTGTTCCTTTCCCTTTTTTATAAGAACCTACTGGAAGAAAACATGGTGTGACTGAAACTAGTGACAGTTGTTAATTGGAAGAAAATAAGCACCATACTATGTATTTCCTACATGTATATAGATACTAGTAGTGCATGCGTTAAGTACCCCCCAGTTAAGGCCACACTAATCTAATTTTAACGTTGTTTCTCGGATTTTTTCAGGAAAAATATGAAGCAACAGGGCAAAAAATTAAAAAAGGTCTAGGCATCCTCTGATAGTCCCAAAAGCAGCATTTGTATGATAGGAGCGTTGATGCCAACATGCCAGGCTGGTTTGTAATTCAAACAATCAATTTTGAACTTTTGGCACACCAATGTACGTGGAAAAACAAGGAAAACAAGGTCAGCTTTCTTCCAATGGGCCAAAATATGAGCAATTTGCAATTGGATTTTTTTTTTCAAATCAGAAAAGTATGAAGCGGGCAAATCCGAGAACCAACTAATTAAATTGGTATGGTCTAAGTAAGATAGAACGATAATTGTCTACAGAAATTCATTAAACTTCAAAGCAAAACGGAAACTATGTGGCTCCAGATGTCTTACTGAGGGACGACTGCGTGTGCGAGATGTTGGTTAGCTTGAAGAATGAATCCCCTTTACTATATACTTTAAAGCAGATGTGTGTCTTCATCATCTTCTAACACTAGTACTGCATTTTGATTATACCTATGTTCTTTTCTTATCATTTGTGTAATAATTCAGTTGTATTAATTTCCAGTATAATGGTTTCTGCTTGTATTTCATGACCCCCTTTGTTAAACCATCTAAATGTATTCATTTCCTGTGCTATATTTTTGTTTCTGTTCATTCACTTTCAATTACTATATTAGTCTCATGATATTCATTTATTATGACTTCACCACCTAGTGGTGATGTCATATTGTTTTGCTGACATTTCTTTTCTCCTCCTCCTCCTGCCATTTCTTTAAACTGATTCAACTCCTTCATTTTTGAGTCAAATAACATGAAATTTGGCATGAAGGTACAGTGGCCAAATACCCCCAGGTGTTTTTTAAAATTTCTTGGTACAGGCTTTCAGAATGGTTTTATTGTGACTTTTGTTTGTGTTATAGGTTATGTACTGTAGCAGTGTGTGTTGCCAAGATTGGAGTGTGACCATATTTGGGCATAGGGCCAATGCCCAAATATGGGCAGCAGGTGCACCCTGTTTGGGGATCTGGTCTCTGATTGGCTGTTCCCTTAATTACTTTACTGCTGAATGAACACCTGTGTAGGCTTCCATATACTTATAATAGGAATAGCTACTTTTTTTTTTACAAGTATTAGCCAGGAAAATAAGTCTTTTGGGTTGTAAATCGGTAGAAACATGTCATATAACCTACATTTCTATATACCTTGCTATTTTCTAAACCAAATTTTAACATTTTTAAACCAGATAAGCTGCTTTCCTCTATTCTTCTTGCTGATTGGCTGTTGAGATCTAATTGGGTTGACTGTATTAACAGCTGCACATAGCCATACCATATTGACAGTATTGAAGTGCATTCAAGTGTTTTGGGGTACCGGGTAGATATGTAAAACTTTCCTTCTCAAGCATTGGAATGCGGGACATACTAGTAAACGCTTTTTTTTAATCTTAAAAATCAACAGCATTATGCAAATAAATCCTAACCAATAATGTAGGGGATAGCTATCCAACTGTTGCATTCTTAGTTATATGTCACAGACTTCATAAAGACTTCAGACTTCACAAAGCATTGTTTTCCCTTGTATGAAATGAAATTTCTCCTTCTTTCCCTACAATGTCGTGAAACTTGGTGAAGTCATGCTACATCTGCTCCAAAGCAGATGTCGGCCTTTCTAGTTGAGTAAGAATTAACAGAGCAGACCATATGCGAAGGTAAACATTATGCATTTGCTTTGCAAATGTTACTTCTCTTGTTATCATATTAGTTTTTTAAACATGTGCAAATAAACAAACAAACCTGTGTCTAGCGCCTCCTTTGCCCTCTTGCCGGCCTGGTCGATGAAGCGGTCCACCTTGTCCTGGTGACGCAGCACGAAGGGGCGGATGATGCGCTGATAAATCATCTCTGAACCGTTGTAGGAGCCAGGGGCCATGCAGTACAGCAGGAACAGGCACTAAAAATACAAACAACAAATATAAACAAATACGCACTGGAATAACAAACCACAACATGAACCGGTACTAGAAATACAAACTGCATAAATAAACAGAAATAAACAGATACTGAAAATACAAACAAATGTAAACAGGTACTGGAAATACAAACAACATAAATAAACAAACAGGCATGGCAAATACAAACAATAAACAGTAGGTACTGGAAATACAAAAAAACAAGAGTTCCACAACCTTATACCTACACCATGATGTTAACCCTTCCAGCGGACGAATTTCTACTCATTGATTTTAGAAATAAGAGCCTCATTTGCATGAATCATAATCATATTCTCACCCAATGACAGTCTTATCTTAACAAAGAAGGCTACTAGTATTGTAGCACTTAACCATAAATTATGCAAATGAGGTCCTGATCTGAATAAATTATGTTTCATGATATTCACCTTCACTTCACTTCCAAATGCTGCAAGTACTAAATTCTGAAGTTATCAGTATGAAATTAACTAGACCTAATTATGCAGATTAGGTCTTCAGTTACATAGTTAATATCTGGCGATGTTCCTCTTGTTCTCAATTACATGTCACGACTCACAAGTGTTTCATAGTTCTATTATCGAACACAACAGATGTATAGAATTTCATAATTTATGCAAATTAGATCCTGATTTGTCTTCCAGACAAGTGATGTTACAAGTGACTTCATTACAACTGTATACAGGCCTGGCCCTGGACAAGTCCACTTGTACTGCAGGGGTGTCCTACCTTCAGCAGGTAGTAGAAAGGGATCCAGAAGAGCAGGATGTCGAACCAGAACTCAGCCAGCCCGAAGACGCTGTACACGACCCAGTAGGTCAGCCACTGTGTGTCGTCTTCCTTACGTTCACTCTCGATGGCCTTCACCCTGCACATGGACAGACATCAGCTTCATGTCAACGTAAGGAGATGGACAGGTTTGCTGACACCACACATTGGAACTTACCAGTGATACTAGTAGATAATACAAGGTCATACATAGTACATCTGATTCTGAGTTAATTCAAGAATTCGGAGATCTCAACCTCCATGAAACATATGAGTTTCTGTAAAGGTTTTTTTTATTTGCCTCATTGACTAGGGAAATAAGGTCGTAATTAGCATAATCTCGTTTAATGACAATATTTTTCACGTAAAATTCCTCTCCTTTGTCATACTTCATTTCAACATATCCTCAATTATGCAAATGTTGTCATTTGCATAATTTGCATTTATTTATGTACAACTCTCTCTCAGCTACAACAAAAATGATAAAAATACATTGTTTCTATCAGAACTTATTGGTTTTTAAAGATTTCGCCAGCAAGTCCCCTGCAGTTCCAGAACAAGCTGCTAGGGGGACCAAACTCACACCACTTATTCCTGACAGGAAAAGCTACTGAGTCAGTGTCACCAAAAAGTTAAGACCATAGCATGTTCAGGACAAAAGATACAAAAACCGGAAGTTCTGCTGCAGTACCGAGGTCCATATTTGACCTTGACCTTTGTCTTCCTAAGACTTACCAGCATACCAAATATCATCACAATCCATAAAAGCGTTATGAAGTTATGCTGACTACAAATGTGCAGAAACACAAACACACACACACAGAAACATACACACACAAACACACTGACAGACACACACGCCAAAAACAATACCTCCATTTTTCATGGAGGTAAAAAGGCAACTGGACAGGACATGTGATTATTCATGCCTCATGTAACTCTTCTGGTGTGCAGCATTGCTGGCAAAAGGCCAAAGGTCATGGAACAAGTTGTACTGGTCCCCACCCTGTCTGTAAAATGGATCATCAAGACATACTGTCTTGTATTGTTAGACATTCTTTTTAGCAATTTCAGCTAATGAAGGTCTGTAAATCTGGAGACTTCTGATGTGTTCTTATATCTGCCCTCCATATGAATGTCTGATTTGGATAGACTAGACATGTATGTTCCAAAGTTTACTTTGTACATGGCAAAGAAAAAGAAAGTTGCTGACATGCCAGGGTGGATCTGAGAACAAGTCTTCCATCCTACCACCAGAGGGCATGTCTGCGTCAAAACAGATTAATGTGTCTGGTGACCTGCTAATGCCCATTCTCACCCTCAAAGAAAATGATTCTGACCAAATCTTTTCAGAAATCATCTATCCAGGATTGTCAAATGCATTCACTCTGCTTTTTGCCAATCCTAACTGAGTCCGCACTCAAAGGATAGAGGAATCCCGTGACTAGAGCCTTACATATTTTTTTTTAAATTCACATGGATTTTTGAGCATTAGATACGTAGGAAGCACTTGTTGTGCTTATGTGAATCCGCTGCTCATAAAACATAATACAAATGTAAACATAAGATGACATAAAATATAACATAAACATAAAATGAAAGTGGCTGGCGCACCAATACCTATAGCATAGGAACTAGGAGGAAAATGACTTTCTTCAACCGTTGGTCCCAAAATATCTTTCACTGAGCATTTTGCAGTTAATTTAGAACCAAAATTTTTTTTATTGCAAATCAGAAAAAAAATGGACAGGGCGATCCGAGAAGCAACAAATAAAATTGGCGTGGCCTTATCATCGGAAAATAGAGACTGCCCTTATTTGGTTGTCCTCGCTGTTTGTCCCATGGTTAGAATTGCTCAACTTTGACCCCAAATAGCCTTATATGGGAGCCAGTTTCGTCAGCTGAAAATGCTGCCAGGTTAGTGTGGTGCAGGTTTTCAGTTTATTCACAGCTAGAATGCTAAATTGAGAACGACTGAATCCAGACACTGACTCGTTTATTCTACAAACTGCAGATTGTAAAATTTTTCTTTTGTAATCCTGAAACCTGTCTGCAAAATGCAGACGGTATTTCAAACACTGCCTAAGGCCACACCAATTTAATTTCTTGGTTGACAGATTCACCCGCTTCATTTTTTTCTGATTTGCAAAAAAAAAAAAATTCAGAATCAACTGCAAAATGCTCATTTTTTGCCCTGACCAGTTGAAAACAGTCCTTTTCTTCCTAGTTGTTACAGTAATTCCATCTTTCAATGCAGTGGTATCATTAAAAGTTCAAAATTCATTGTTTAAATTTTGAACCAGCCTGGTGTGTTGACTTCATGGCTCTTATCGTACCATTGTGGGCCACAATAGGATGCCTAGGCCTGTTTTTATTTTTCGCCCGCCCGCTCTATTGTTTTTCTAGAAAAATCTGTTAACCAAGAAATTAAATTGGTGGGGCCTAATGGAAAAAAACATGGATTCCTGGTGGCTTTTACTCTACATGAACGTACATGAACAAATGTGTTTCACACTGCAACAAATACATGTACATGTACTAGTATATGCCATACCAAAGCCATAAACCATCAGGCTGACATGTCAAAATTCTGTGTGAAACACGACACTTGACTTTGGGTAGTTGTTATGGTGAAGAGGAGACATCTCTATCCACAGCTGTCAGGCTTATTCCTGGATTAGGGGTTTCACCAACAGTGGTCGAAATACTTTTTTTCAGTGCTCTGCAATATTGCAGAAGAGTCAAAATTTCGTCCTGCAATTTGGAAATACTTTCTGCAAATACACAAGCCCCCATATTACAACCTTCTGAAACCAATAATGCCTATTTTTGCATCATATATATATATATAGCTTTGTAAATCTGTAGCATAACTGAAATTCTTCAAAATATCACTATTTTAAATATGTTTGGACCGTAAAAATTTTATCGGTCCGGTCCAAAAAAACCGAAACGTCGGAGGACCGGTTCTTTGGGCCGGAACAAAAATCCATACTTGTTGTTACTGATGGTCACTACATGCAAGGAAGCCTGCCAGGAAAATGAAAATCCAGCCTTCAAATAAACGAAGTTTACCTTAGTCTCCGTCTCTCTCATTTTGCAACAATATTATCCCGTTTTTTCGGTACCGATAGTCATCTAGAAATCACAAAGCACAAGTTTACGGGCCGTGTTTGGTTCGGATCGAGCCGAAAATCACTGATATTTTACACCACATGGTCACAAATTGTGACGCACGTAAATTTTCACTCCAAATGAGAAATTACCGCCCAACAAAACGGACCATTAGGTTCCCAGTGCTGTATTTCTCTTTTGTTCATGGGATCAACTTTTCTTTCCTTGAATCATGCAAAATACCAAGGAAAAACATCGAAACTTCGGCAAATTATCGCCGAGGCGAGTGTGCTTCTTCGGAGAAGCCATGTTTCCTTTGCCGTGTTGCCTGCTGGGAAATGCTCGGCGGAAACTGCCGAAAATTGCCGAGGCAGTTGTCGGGTCCTCCCGGGTGACGAAATCTAACACGGAAAATGCCGAGGGCCCATATTTGGTTATCGTCGCCTTTCGTCGCCTTGTCGGAATCGCTCAATTTGACCCCAAATTCCCTTATATGGGACCATTACAGTCTGCTGGAAAACGCCGGCGGCAGGTTCGTGCGGCGCAGGTTTTCAATCTATTCACAGCGCCGCTACTTTGCTAATATTGAAATCTATTGAATCCGGAGCCTATTTTTTCCTTCTGCAAAATTGCAGATTGTAAGATTTTTTCTTCTGCAATCTTGAAAGTCTATCTGCAAATTGCAGACTGCAGACGGGTATTTCGAACACTGACCAATGTCCAAATGCATGGGGTAGAGTTTTGTCATGCACATGATGTTTGACTATACTGTATTGTATTGTATTGATCTGTCATGAAAAAAAAGGGTGGCAAGTGGTGTGTGTTACGAACATTATACCCTGCAAACTGGTATCAAAAACCCAACTTTCCACAAAATCATGTGTCCACCATACCCCCATTCACACCCTCCAGTCAAAACTTCACCAGTTTTAGACAGAGGTGAATGACCTCTAGGTTAGCGGCTGTGTGACAGACAGAAATGGGCCAGGAACTGACCCCTTATATGTAGTGTACAAACTCCTGCATGCTGTACAACCAATTCACAGTAGACATAATAATTCCACAGTTGTAAATTATGCCAGGGTCATGTTTTTACATTTGCCACATTGTTGACTAGCAGGCTGTTTGAAGAGACTATCAATTTGTATTTGACATGAACTAATTGACAGAGTTGCTACACATCTCTCAGTAGGGCTGCGTACCTTTTCGTAACATCAGGTACAGGTACAGGTACAGAGGTTTAGGTCCAGGTCCGGACCTGTACCTGTACCTGAAAATTCACGCGCGTCACATGTTCTACTGAAATTCTTCAATAATGACAGAAACATGAATAAAATGTTGACAATTTGTCCTGTATCTTTCAAAGATCATCCAATATAACCATGGATGATATAACTAGGTTTCCTATCTCACTTCTCACTAGTTCTCAGTCACCCTCTTGGTGACCCACACTTTCTGAACTCTTTATTTTAACGCTGGATGTTCATTTTCCTGGCAGGCCTCCTTGTGTGTAGTGATCAAGTATGACTTTTTGTTCCGGTCCAAAAAAACTATCTCTCAGGCACACATTACATGTCCCTGTATGCATGTTACTCAAGCTGCAATCTTTTATCTCTTAGCAAGGCAGGAGGAGCCCACCTGACAACCAGGGCATGTGACCTCGTATCAGTACCACTGTCCTTGGGTCCATGTTAGAGAGCTGCCACATGTCATTCAACACACTGCTCCTTTTCATACCTTTACCAGTCCCAACTGTATACATGAATACTGTATATAAACCAACAACCGAACATAACTGGTGACATTTCAAGACCACAGTGTGCAACAATAGTTATCAGTCACTAAACAATGGGTCACTAATTGGGCTCAACAAATTCCACTGACTGGACTGGAGTGATGTTGGAAAATATATATGATGATGTGATATTATTCTATGAGAGCAGGTTCAACCTTTGGCAGATGGATGGCTGAATCAAAGTGTAGAGGTGGTGAGGAGAACGCTATGCCAACTGTTGCACGGTTAGAGTAACAGAGTTTGGTGGAGGCACTGTCATGGCGCGCGCACACGAACACACACACACACACACACACATACACACACACACAAACACCACACATACACACACAAACAAAATTAGTAACCGTTTATGACAGGTATTATGACTGCCTACATCTATACGTACAGTACACCAAACACCAGTAGCAAGAATTATAATAAGCTTCTTTTCCACCCCACCCAGAACACTAATCTACACTGCTAGTGACACCTGAGAACACTGGTTCCAATCCCCACCAGAGTACACTGGTTCTAATCCCACCCATTGTTGTATCAGCATGTTAGACAAGCAAAGACACACCACACAGTGTTAATGCCAGCCTCTACAGCATGTTTCAGGCAGCGTTTCAAATATATTGACTACATTTCTGCTGATTCCAGGTTGTTTTCTGATTGCAGTGGTGTTCAATCAATGTTCAGTATGCAGTGTTAGCACATGGTGGCCATCAGAAAACGAGTCAAACCTGTCTATCAATAAGTGATCACTTAAGGGACTGGACAAAAACAGGTGAGGTGTTGGAGCCAGTTTACACGGGAAAAAGGGTCCTAAGGCCACACCAATTGAATTTCTTGGTTAACGGATTCACCCGCTTCATTTTTTTCTGATTTGCAAATAAAAACAAAAATTCAGAATCAACTGCAAAATGCTCATATTTTGCCCTGAACAGTTGAAAATAGTCCTTTTCTTCCTGGTTGTTACAGTTATTCCATCTTTCAATGCAGTCATTGTTTAAATTTTGAACCAGCCTGGTATGTTGACTTCATGGCTCCTATTGTACCATTTTGGGCCATAAAAGGATGCCTTGGAGGCTAGGCCTGTTTTTATTTTTTTATTTTTTCGCCCGCCCGCTCCATTACTTTTCTAGAAAAATCCATTAACCAAGAAATTAAATTGGAGTGGCCTAATATGACAATTGCTGCACGGCGCAGTACATCGGTTTGGGGCCTGCTTACATGATCCAAAAATCTGTCCTACATAATCATAATGCAACGCGCAGCGACACATGTCAATCCTTGTACTACTAGGACACTTTTTTTGCCCCGTTTAAACTGGCCACTAAACTGTTTGTTGGGACTATTTTCTTCAAGTCCCTTGAGAGCAGGACATTATAGACAGGCCCAGTGAGAAAAGTTATCTTCCTGAAGTCACCACAATGGCCTGGGATTAGAAATAAACCCCCATTATTGAAATGCTGCCCAAACCCTGCTACAGAAGCTACATGCTTGTTTATGTTAATCACCGCATACTTACGAGCAATACGCCGGGTAGACGAACCCGGTGAAAGCACAGAGGAAAGAAGCGCCATAGCCGATAGCGAGATACAACAGGAACAGCCCCATGAGCCCTGTAGGGGGGGACAGACGGTACATGTTACTCACGAGGCGTACGCGGGGTACACAAAACCAATCAGGTTGCACAGGAAGGCAGCCCCGTACCCAACTGCCAGGTACAGGAACAGGATCGACATCAGGACTGGAAGAAAAACAATCATCAGTGAAACTGTGATCATCACATTCCCGGCAGGGTTCTAGCTAGCACAAAGTAGCGTAGGGGCCCCCTACGCTATAATTTTCACCCCCTACGCTAAATTTCCCCCCTACGCTATAATTTTGACCCCCTACGCTAAATTTTCAATACAGCATAGAGGCATTGTGAAGTTGTATTTCTTTGTTCAAGAATGCCAGATCAAATGTGAAAAATTACCAATCAAAGATACATTGTACATACCTTAGGAATAAAATTTTTTCCCTTTGGGTATCCCTCAAATGGCCGTTTTTTAGCTAAATTTTTTAAAAGCTACGCCCCATCCCCCCTCTCGGTCGCTTCACTTCCTTGACATGCGGCCAGTACCACTACGCTAAAATTACAATGTAAATCCTAGCTAGAATTTCTACCTTGGGCCACATCAAATCTAAATCTAACAGGACATTGTCTGTGGCACAAATGCATATGTATTTGGTTTTCAATTGTTTCCAAGAAAAAAACAATTTGTTCACTCCGTTGAATAAATGTTCCATAATATTATAAGGAAACTAATGATAAAGGAATATACCTTGACACACATGGCTAAAGTTGCTTCATGTTCCACAACACCCCCTTTTGAGTTTCACATTATCTAGTAATTGTGCAATTTTCCCATATGCCGTACGTGACGCAATACTGATCACACGTGTGCTTTTTTGTGCAGGGCGTTAATAATGTTATAATGATGTAATGTAGTTCTCGGGCCTACATCAAAGAGGGTCTGCATGGGGGGGTCCTGGCAACGGTTAACGGTAAATTCAGAAGGGCCGATAACGCTTAACGGTAAATTCAGGACGGTCGGCAACGTTTAACGGTAAATTGACAGGCTTTTTTTTTTCGAGCTGCACTGGATTTGGTATCTCGCTTTGTGAGAAAAGGTGATCACTGACAAAATTACGTATACCTTACATGTAATGAAGCATTCATTAAAGGTATGGGTTCCCTGTGTTTCCCACCTGCCCTAGTCCCCGAGTGCGTCCACAAATAAAGGGGAGTCCGAGTCGACGTCGGTCAGCTTGTATTTTTTCAGTCTGCCCAGTTTTACCGATGGATTAATCCAGGGGGGTCCGGGGGAATGCTCCCCCGGGAAATTTAGGATTTTTAAGCCTTCAAAAACGCAATTTCCCGCATTTTGAGAGGGAAATCATGGTGCTGAGAGTGTTTGTCGGTCCTTCTGATGTTTTCATATTTTACTCAAGATTTTTGTTAATTTGCCTGTCAAGGTTGACGGATTCGTTAAAAAAAATTCTGTAACTCTCCGGAAACTTCCGGAAATTGACGGGAAAGCTGGTTCTGGCTAGAGCGGAAGGGACCGAGCGCAGAAGCGCGAGTCGAGCGCCAAAGGCGCGAGCAATGTAGGGGGGTCCGGGGGCATTCTCCCCCGGGAAATTTTGTATTTTTAAACCTTCAATGACGCATTTTCCTGCACTTTGAAAGGCAAAATTAGGCGTAACGAAGAATTATTCATTAACGCTTAACGCTGAATTTAAGATGACAAATAACGTTTTACGTTGAATTAAAACGACCAATAACGCTTCACGATGAATATACTGATAACGCTTAACGTTGAATTAGAGCGGGTCGGCAACGATTAACGGTAAATTAAAATTGCCCATAACGGTTAACGAAAAAGGGCATGCAGGCCCTCATCAAAATGTGAGAAAATTTGATCAAGATTGAGACATCAATGAAAACAGAAAAGATAGACTGTATGGAAGTTCTGTAAGGTTGTTGCGCGGTGGGTGATAGCGACCTGTATGTAACAGTGGTTCCTACGTGCAAACAATAAAAACCTGATAATTTGTGTCACGCCCGGATGATCACGAATGCCGTTTCAAACGACCGCCCAAAACCCTTCTGATTTTTTAGTAAGAAATTACTATGATTTATACTAACATCCTTCAGTTTGAATGACAATTTTTTTTTTCACTGGCGTTCACATCCGTGCATGGCAACACTGCCCGCCCCCAGCCAGCTGTACTATGATTTTGGAACTCCAGTCATGACGATGGAAAAATTTTCTGTCTGGGCGGAACAGAAGCTCGAAAGGGGCGAAGCTGTTTCCTGTTTTCACGCCAAAATAACACATCCCCGCGACTTCCCTACCGTAAACAATATACACCCTCTTCACTCCAGTCTTTGCCTCGGCTGTCGCCAGCAGATCCGTGAAGGCATTCTTTTCGTACAGGTATTTCTCCAGTTTCTCTCGGTAAGACTTCACCTCTGCGGCCGCCATGTTGAAAATTATGTTGGAAGGGATGAGACGGACGTGACGTCACAAATAGCAACTATGACGTCATGATTCATTAGATGGCAACGCCACCTAGCGATCATGAATTTCATGGCGCATTTTTTTTTAATTTGTGGATTGTCAGACTCAGACTGTAGCTTGAGCGGGAAACCTTCTCTCCATGGTAAAAACTCCCTCGGCGGCAAAATCGTCCCTCCGCGGCATAACAAGTTTTTGTTTCTAGTCTGCGAATTTCGAGGGAGGCTAGTCAGACTGCGCCTACAGCCTTAGCCTGGTTAACCTAGCCTCTACCAGGCTTGGGGAGGCGGCTGGAAAGAGTAGAAATCGGCCAAATAGAGAGATAAGCATGCCAAGGGAGTTTGTCCGTTGAGAGAAAAGTTCGCCGCACCCCAAGGCTTGTTCTATTCATATAACTCTACTTGTGATATCAAATCTGTATGCACCATGTTAAGTTAAGGATTTCTGATATACAAACTATTTCCCACAAGTTAAATATTGATTCTGGTAAGCTAAGGTTCTACAAAAAAATGTAAAACAACATATTCTATGGAAAAATACCTGGACTTAATTGATTTTAACAATAGCTCTGCAATAAGTAAATTACGAATTAGTGCCCACCCTCTCGAAATTGAGAGAGGGCTGTACAAGAAGCTCCAGGTGTATGAACGAATTTGCAAACATTGTACTTTGAATACGGTGGAAGACGAAACGCATTTTATATCAAATTGTACCCTCTATAGCAATGAACGAAATGAACTCTTTGACGTAGCCTCCAAATTCTACCCGAACTTTCACACATATACAAATGAAAAGAAAACCACTCTCCTCTTAACTTCCGAAAACCCACAAATTACAGAAAAAGTGGGATCCTTTGTCTTCCTCTGTTTTCAAAAAAGAAGTCAAACCCAGTAGTTTTTACCAGTAGTTTCTTAGTAGTTATCAGTAGTTCTATATGTACTAATTGTCTGTTTTTTTATACCATGTTTCTTCTGTTCCTGCAATTAGCCCTCTGGCAAGAATTTGCAATAAAAAATTATTAATTTTCTCTCAACGGACAAACTCCCTTGGCATGCTTATCTCTCTATTTGACCGATTTCTACTCTTTCCAGCCGCCTCCCCAAGCCTGGTAGAGGCTAGGTTAACCAGACCGCCGTGAGCTCAGCGCTATTCCTTCTTCTTTTTTTTTTTTAACGGCCGCTCAATGCAATTTTTGGGCACTTCTAGGCATAGAGCTAGAGGTACTTAAGTGAATATAATGTAGTTATGTCAGGAGATGGCGGTGGACCTTTGTTTTGAAGCTTTGTGGATTGTAGTCGGACGGAAAACATCTGTTTGGAAGAGAGTTCCATAATTTTGCAGTCCGGGGAAAGAAGCTGTTGTTGTAAAATGACTTGGAGACAGGTATGTTGACGGTGTATTGATGAGAACTGGAAGAGAACCTAGTGGCGCGCTGAAAGGTTCTGAGCGGCGGAACAAGAAGTGCAAGTTCTCCTGAACATCGACCGTGAAAGTATCTGCAGAAGAGGGGTAGGGATGCGACATTGCGTCTGTGTGAGAGGAAATCCAACTTTGCGGTCAGATAATAGCACCTTCGGCACCGAGACTACGAGAGCGTGTGGGGCCGCCAACCGCGATTCCGGGGTGGGGTGGGGGTTTAGGTTTCTTCGCTCAAAAAACAAACAAACAAACAAAAAAAAACAGGTGCAACAGAAGACTTAGAGTAATACAGGAAGTCAGCGGATACAGGGAAATCAGCTGCAGATAGGTCCGTGGCATACTAGGCTGTGCTCGGTAAAGGCCCGGGCCGAAAAATTACCGCCAAGCCGACCAAAGGTTTGGTACCCAGGCTACTACAGCCTCAGCTCAATCTGGGGATGAGTGTCTCTATCACGGGGAAAGAAAGGAAAGGAAGGGGAGAGGGGGAAAGAGAAGGAAGAGTTTATTCAATTACTTATTTTTTTTATAACAATTCAAAATAAAAGAAATTGGTGATTTTGATGTTTTACGCTATTTTGATGCCAAGCTGGTAGCAGCTGACCCACAAAAAGTCATAAAGTTCTGAGGAACCAGAACTGGGCAGACAGCCAGGGAAAAACCTGACAGTGGAAGGCTGGCATGTACCTTAATCCCCAAGCAGATCCTAGGGTGGCAAGAGGACAGTATCAAATTTGCCAGGTAGTATTCATAGGACCCTCTCTGGCCAATGGATACTGCCTGACCAATTTGATATATTATATATACTGTCTTGATCGGACACCTCGAACTGATTGGATTTTGGCTCCCGGCATCCTGTTATGCCACTGCGGCAGAATTTCCGGTTTTGATATCTCGTTATCTGGATATGCTAAGGATTAGCTGATATAGCGGATATGCTGACAAATTTAGGATGATAGAATACTAGATTGCTTTTGGGCATGAGGAGATTTTGTGGTGGAACAGCAGGAGTATTTGTTTATTTAAATGAATTTAAAGGAGGATGACTTGAGTGACGGGCGAGGGATCGTGGTATATTTAACAGTTACCTATAGCTACCTACCTAGTCCCATGTCCATCGCATGACCGACACTGGTCGTCGGGGGGACAAGGCAGACATTGCAGCAGAGGTGTAGCCAGGTCTTCCTGTCTTGGGCTGCATGCATTTTCGAAAGCATACTACCCAAGTACTAGTACTTAAATCTTTTTATGATAATTTCATAACATTTATGATTTTGTAGAAATATAATCTTAAAAACCCGCACGGTGACATGGAATGGACTCTATCCCCAGCTTTGACGAAGTGCATGCAGTACTATAACTTCTTCAGTAGTCAGAATGAATACCGTGTTAAGGTCGAAAAAAAAACAGTCGTTGAAATTTCTGACGTTCTCTTTCTTCAAACGGTACGCATGGGTGTAAGTATGTGTACTTGTGTTAAGGCCACAGCAAGTAGTTTTTATGGATGACATCAGCGCGCGCATTGATTTTCGCCTGATTTTGGGGAAAAAAAAAAGAAATTTTGTTGCCTTCTGACAGTGGTCAACATGCCAAAAATGGGCAAAGATGTCTGTTGCCATGGAAGGTGGATGGCAGATAACTATGAAGAGAGGAGTCAAGACAAGGCTCTGATTTAATGTTTTGTTTCTTACTTTGATGCAGTGATAAGTGATGTTGGCTGTTTATATGTGATGTTCCCACTGAATCAAAACCATTTGTACAATGATTGAGTCAAAATTTTAAAATGTAGGAACCTTGTTTTTTCGGCCCGTCTTTTTTTGTCCGCCCGTCTCGCGTTAGATTTGGAATCTGCAGAGGATGTCATCCATAATATTTACTTGCTGTGGCCTAACAGCCGTTTGTGAACTAAACAAAGGTCAAGTTCGATCGTGGATTTCCCAACAGTGATCCGTGATGACTGTGAGGGGAAACCATCCATTTCCAACATTTGTATATACCATAGAGGGAAATGTCAACGTTATATGCGGGTGGTGAGTTGGGTTAAAGGGTTGGGAAGATTACCTTTTAGTCAGCAATGAAAAAGTGAGACTTGGCCCCGGGCAAGTCAGTTCTCCCCACACATGGCTTATGTACCGGGACACGTGTTAGCATACAGATTCAAGGACTCATAGTATCGTCAAACATAAGAAGTGGAGTTTACTGAGATCTAGAAATGGCTGCTTCGGATACGCTATTTCTCATGCCCTGATCTCTCCCTAACCCCACCTCACATCACGATCGGTTTGTTCGGTGTCCTAAAATGTCATCAGCCGGTCTCGACAGCGACATCCCCCGCAGGGAGGATAGCTACATTAGCCTCCACTGATCCAAAACGATACCATATCGCGAAGTCTGCATGCATTACCATTACTTTCAATGGCCACACTACCTTTTGGCATTGTGTGCTCAAAATTGAGTATCGTTACATGATTACATGTACCTCCATGAAAAATGTAGGGATTGTTTTTGGTGACACTTTGGT